CAGGCCTATGTAGAGAGACCCTGTCTCAAAAATAAACAAATAAATAAAATTTTATATATTACACTCTAAAGCGAGAAATCCACAGAGTCTACTTAAATGACAAGGAATTTATTAAAGGATTAAAAGCTCACTACAGCACCACGCTGTTCTTCCGCCTGGCCCATCTCAGCATCCAAAAACCACAAAGCAGAGAGAGAACACCTTGCATCTCCATTCTTAAGGGTCCCAAGAGGCCACGCCCCAGGGGGGATGTACTTCAAGATCATAGGCAGGTAGAGCAGTCACCTGCTCCCTCTCTAGGGGCGATCCTTTAAGATCATAGCCAGAGCAGCTACCCACTATGACACTCTTCATTATCTGGACACATTTTATAATCAGCTTATGTTCACGGATCTATAGAAAATGACTTATAAACTTTTAGCAACATCATTAATACATAACCCTGTATCAAACAGACAGTAAAGTTTATTTCACATCTTTTTTTTTGGGGGGGAGGAGGTATTTCTGAGGGTTTCTCTGTGTAGCCTTGGAGCCTGTCCTGGATCTCACTCTGTAGATTAGGCTGGACTCGAGCTCACAGAGATTCACCTGGCTCTGTCTCCCGAGTGCTGGGATTAAAGGCATGCACCACCACCGCCCAGCTTTATTTCACATCTTTAATAGCTCAATATGAGAAGGTTTCTTGGGTCAATGGCTTCGAACAACGGGTCCAATCACCAGTCGTTTGCACACCACAGATCAAACTCATCTCCCAGGGCAAGGATGAGCCATCTCACAGCAAGAGCATCACTGGGGTCCTGTCTCTGTCTTTCATGACCACTGACCGCTCTTAGAACTCGGTGAATTGCAGAACACACCCCTCTTTATTCTTTATGTGGAAATGACAGGTCACTAGCCTCTAATTTGTTTGATTCTTTATTTTTTAAAGAAGTTTTATGTATTTATTTTGTGCATATGAGCGTGCATCAGTACAGTCACTTCCAGAGTGGAGCCTTAAAGGGTCTGAGGTCAGCACTAACCCCCACCCATCTTACAGGTCAACTGTCCTAACCTCATTTCTGTTGTGATAAAACACCCTGGCCAAAAGCATCTTGGGAGAAATGGGTTACTTGGCTTATGGTTCCAGGTTACAGTCTATCTATCATTGTGGGGAAGTCAAACAGGAACTCGAGGCAGCTAATCACACCGAATCCAAAAGCAGAGAGAGAACTGATGTGGTTATAGCACATATTGGTTAACTCACCAATATGAGTAACTCACTGCTTTTGTAGAGGACCCTAGTTGGTTCGCAACCATCTGTAACTCAGGCCCCAAGAGATTAGTATCTCTGTGGGCATGTGAACTCACATGAACATACTCCCCCCAACCCATGTTTAAAAACAAAGTAAATCCTTAAAGTGTGTTTTTTAAAAAAGCAAAGAGAGAATAAATACATGCATATATTGTGTTCACTTGCTTTCTCTACACTCAACGTCCAGAGCCCAAACTCCAGAAATTTTAAGGCAACCAAGATGGTCCTCCGCAGCCATACTCACAAGCTAACCTGATCTAGATGATCCCTAATTGAGCTGCTTTTCCAGGGCTTTTTAGCTTGGGTCAAATTGACAGTTATAAATTAGCCAACACGTTACGTAAGTTAGGCTTTTGTTCTTCATAAATCTACTTAGAAACTATTGTTTGGCCTGGATGTTTAGAATATGAAGGTGAGTCTTGGGGCACAGCCAGTGTTTCTTAACTGGCTATTTCCCAACCCCTAGGAAACAGCATAGCCCCTGATACCTACATCCTGTGGTAGGCAGCCGTGTATGCACAGTCCCGAAGCATGGTTAGTGGGGAGCTATCTTCAATAGCTGATCTAAATCCTTCCATTTTGTAAGACAGGAAACTGAGGCCTGGTGGTTACAGGACCATCTCTGGATCAAATTTTTTTTTTTTTTTTAGTGTTCTGAGGGCCTCTTGTGTGTACAAGACAAGGGCTCTACCACTGATTTATATATCCTAGCCCACTAATCAGCTTTTAAGTTTCACTCCTCAGAGGCTCTGGACGTCTATTCTGCTGCTAGTCATCATCGGAGCCCAGAGTTTTCTCTGTGCACTTGCTTAGTAGAAGAAGATAGGAACAACAGAAAATAATCAGGAAAAACTAGATCTAGAAAAAGATTGATACAGCGCTGTTGATTCGGTACACGGACGAGAGGAGGCCCAGGTTTATTTCCCTCTATCTAACCAGCCATAGTGATGGATGGGACACTCTAGGGCAGTCTGATACTGTCTAAAAGGGAACATATTCACTTCTGGATCATCAAAATACAAGTCAGGATAAATTAGGCTTTGTACTTAGTAACGAGTTCTAGAGCTTCGGTGGCACACCAGTTGGTACAGGACTGATAGTCTTGGGGAAAAAAATTTTTTTTAAAAAAAAGCAAGACTTTGGGGTCCATTCCCACACCCTAAATAAAGTAAATAACAATCAAATAATAAATTAAAAAAAAATACCAACAGCCAAAATGTCAGCATTTCAGAAAACACCGCCTTCAAACAGTGAGAAAACAGAAGGGAGACTAGAAACTCAAGCTCATGGCTGAAGTGAAGTAACTGCGCTCTTTGAAAATGTATTCCCGACCCACAGCAGCATCCAAAAGTCTGAAACCGCACATAGGCAGCCAGGGTTAGAGGCAGCTCATCCCCTCAGCAACGTGGCCCGCTGCTCTCCACAAAGTCAGAAATGGAACCAGACACACTGGGCACACACTCAGCAAAAGCTGCTTTTGGGGGAGGCTGGGGATGGCATCCAGGACCCCATTCCTGCATGCATGTGCACTAACAGCAAGCTGCACCTCCAAAATTGAGAAGCACCTTTGAAGTTCAGTTTCCAACCTTTCTGCTACAGCACCCATCTTTGGAGGTCAGAGGTCTATGCAGTCAGATTTCTCCTTCCACCTTTATATGGGTCCCCTAGGATCCCACTCTGGTGGCCAGGTTTGCATAGCCATGACCCTTCCATGCTGCGCCATCTCACCAGCCGTGGGTAGTGTTTTTAAACAACTACTCGTGTTTTGTCCATGTTTCATCAGGGAAATAGAATTGGCACATGGAAATAGAATCTCGATGAAAAACTGAAAAGCCAATCAAAGATTAGAATTACCAATTTCTTTGCTAACAGGGAACTAAGGGTTATGTGCCTTGCACTATGCACTAGAATCATCCGGAGAGGTTTTTAAATGCCTGAGGCTCTGGCCCCATCCCAGACCAACAGGATCAGAATCTCCAGGGTTAAGGGAGACCCAGGCTACACCAGGAACGAGTGTAAGTGGTCCCAACTGCAACCCAGTGAGGAACCAGCTGCTCTCTGGTTTTTGAATATTAAATGTTCTTCATTAGAGCAAGATAAACTAGTAATCCTGGGAGTATAATGCTCTGGAATGTCACCCAACTGAATACAAAAATGTAATCTTCACAATTTGTCTTTTTCAGTCAAATGCATCAGATCTGGCTCACCCTCTTGGCTGTTTCTGGAGACAGTTCTCTTCAATTCCCATATTTTCCCTCCATGCACTTAATGGTGAACATGAAAAACTAACTAACTGAGGGGGAAAATATCACCAGGACTCCTCCACCCTCCTTGGTTGCTCTTTCCAAAAGAATAAAAATAAATAAAGACTAACTTCTAACTTCTCTTAAATGCTTCAAAACAAAATAATTAAAATGCCTGGGAAAACAACCATGAAACTTAACGAGCTATTTCCTCTATATTTTCAAGTCACAGACTCAGGGTCTATCATGGAAATAGCTGCACAATTCTGATTCTGCCAAATCACCGTGGAATGGCACAGGGACTGTGCCCTGCAAGGTTCTGCCTCCACCCCATCCGCCATGTGAGTCGCAGCCACAGGAGTTTCTTCCTGACAACTCATTATACAAGATCCTGACAGTTCCCCAGCCCGACAGGAAGAGGCTATCCAACCCTGGTAGAGGACACACAAAGATCATGAAAAGGACAGTTCTAGTCGTCCTCATCTTTCCTCCCAAGGAAAACATCAGAGGTGGTTAGGTAGACTTCTGAGACAAGCCCAACTCTCGCCATCATGGAAGGGACCAAACCCTTCAAGAAGCCATGAAAAAGAAATAGCCAGAACTTCCCAATCAAGCGATTTTGCCCCTTTCCCTTCAGAAGACACACGGGTAGTGAGAGGAATTGAATCATTAGTCCCAGGCTGCCTGATTGCCAAAGCCTTCTGTCTCCCCAGGCAAGGGCTGACCAGGTGACAGGGAGCGCGCCTCACACTCCAGCACAGGTGCGCCTCAACACCATGCGCGTTGGTGTAGGACCCCACTTATATAAATGCCCATAAAAGACAAATCTGTAGAGAGAGGAAGTCCATTAGTGATTGCTGAGGGTGACGGTGAAGAGAGGGCCTGTCCGCCGACCACCAGGAGGCATCATTTTGGAGGTGATGGAATGTTCTAAAACTGGACCCGATGAGGATCATAAGCTTACTAGAAGTCACCGAATCCTGTTCTTTCAATGGATGGATTCTGTGACGTAAATGACAACTAAATAAAGCTGGCTTTAAAACAGGTATGGCAGCCAGGTGCATATGCGGCACTGCCGAAGGCTGAGGCAGGAGAATTGTGAATTTAAAGTCATCGTCATTGTGACTACAGTAAAACCAACCCCCCCCCCCAAAAAAAAAAAGGTGGTAGAGTAAGGGCTGTCAAGGTCTGGAGTTCCTCAGCTACCTTGCAGGTCGCAGTCTGTCGCTAACATGAGTTCCGCTCTTTCACCATATCCATCATGAAAAGTGACTATAGTAGAATGGGCAAGAGGAGTTGACGGGGACGAGGACAGGGGTGGGGGGGGACGACGACACATATTACCAAATCTAGTTCTGTGTAATCACCAGATCTGAGACTGGAAAGACAAACAAGGAGGAATCTTTCCTAATCCAGAAAAAGAGAAAGAAAAAAAGACAATGTCAATATTACCTGGAGGTTAGGGGGCACTCTACCAGGTTCCTACCCTTTACCACAACCGAACCGTCAGGGAAAACAGTTTTCTAACAGAAAAGAAGTCCGGAGGCTGAGCCCCTAAAGAATAACGGGGTCGTGGGACAAGTTTTCCACCACAGCATTCATCAGATGCAGGTTGGTTTTACTTTAAAGGTAGGCACCGTTCCCACGGGCGCCAAGTTGGGAAGTTTGGGTCTCAGGATCCGGTGTTGGGCGGCTCTGCACCCCGCTGCGACTGTGCGGAGGGGCCCGTCCATTCCCTCTGGACAGTCACCCGCCACCGTCCTCGTCCAGTACCCTGCACGACCTGCGCGTCCCTAGGAGCATCCCCAGGCGCGCTCCGTGCCCCCCAACCCCCAGTCCCGGGACGCCACCGCGACCTTCGCACCTCCCCAAGGGACCCCCACGCCGCAGGGAGAGGCGCCAGCGGGGCAGCCTCCCCCCGGGGGCCGTCGGGGGACGGAGGGCGGAGCTGATCGGCCACCGCCCTACCGGGGAGGGAGGTGTATGGGGGGGAAACCCGGGACCGCTCCCAGCCCCCGCCCGTGCCCCCAGCACAGTGCTCATGCGCGCCGCCGGCCTTTATAGCGGCCACGGAGCCGCGCTTACGGCACTCGGGTGCAGCCGAGCGGATTCCACGCAGGTGCGGGATCCGGGGTGGGGAGCGGGGTCTGTCCCTGTCCATCTGTGTGTCCTGGCGTCCCCCGCGCCGATGTGAGGTGGCACAGCGTGCCTGGGGAGGTTCGATCTGCAGCAGCGGGGCTCTCCCGCCTTCTCCGGCTCCCGAGGAGCCCGGGGTCCCTGGGGTCCCCCCGCGAGCCTCGCTCACGCCTCGCTTTCCCGCAGGTCCGCGCAGATCCCCGCCATGCCCGCGTCCTGGATCCCTGCTCTCTGCCTCGGTGGGTACGCGCCCTGGCCGCCGCGCCCGCGCGGGCCGAGGCTGCAGCCACCTAGCTGTCCTTTCTCCGCAGGTGCGTGGCTGCTGCTGCTGCTACTGCTGCCCCGGCTCACGCGCGCCGAGGGAGCCGGTGAGTTGGGTGCGGGCGGAGGAGGGAGGGTGGACAGGGTCCGTCCGACCTGCGGAGGGATGCGGGGGCTGGAGAGGCGGAGAGGCGCCCGCAACCGTCTCCAGCGCACCTTTCGGGCTTACCTGTTTCCCCACGCCAGGGTCCCCGGGGTCCGACCCGGCCTCCTTCCCGGGCGCACGCCACCTAGCTCTGGGACCACCAGTCCTGAGTTACTGGGCTGGGGGAACCCTTTGGTCCGAGCCCACCGATGGGGCGGCTCACGTCCTGGTCCCACATAGTTCGATCTGGCTGTACGATTGTACAAGTAACCCCTATGGAAAGCACCGATCAGCTGTTCTTATCGCTCCCTGGAAGCCTCAAAAGAGTTTGTTCCGCTTGTAGAAGTCCGAGTACGGGTGTGTGGTTCGGTGTCTTCTGCCATGTAGGGGATCGCTTCGTTTCTAAAAAAATCTGTCGTTTGCTTTTCTTGAAAGTAGGCATCTAGGCAGTGGTACCGGGTCCTGTGCTCATTGCATGAGTTGGCTGTTTGAAACCTGGAGCTTATTATGCAGGGACGCTTGGCTCAGTCTGGGAGGAGGGGACTGGACCTGCCTGGACTGAGTCTACCAGGTCGATCTCAGTCCTCGGGGTGGGGTGGGGGAGGCTTTGCCCTGGAGGAGGTAGGAATGGGGGGTGGGCAGGAGGGGGGAGAACAAGGGAGTCCGTGGCTGATATGTAGAACTGAATGGTATTGTAAAATAAAATAAAAGGAAAAAAAAGAAAGAAAGTAGAAATGGTAAGTACCGCACCTGGCTGCCTCGTTCATCTTTTGACCAAGGAAGTCAGTGTTAGCAGCTCTAAACAGATTCGATCTAAGATTCCAGTGTCGCCGCCGACCCCTCCCCCAGGTCGCTGAAAACGGAAAAGATAGGGGTTTTAACTGAGCTGAGGAACTGGTACACCAGCGTCGTCCCCTTTTTTCCATGGTCCAGGTAGCAAGCAGCACAGACAGGGGTCCTTGGCAGAGGCAGGTTTCTCAACTTGCAAAACTATGTATGTCTTGTCGGGTGAGGGAGATGTTGTTTTCCCCGAAACATCTGTTTCCAAAGGACTTGGATAACTTGTCCCCGTGTTTGGAAAGTCGTATTTAATAACCTTACTCTCGATTTAATCGACAGTAAATCAACAGGTTACCATCTCGGGGTTTGTTATGATTCGACAAATTAACACCTTTCACAGTAACTTTGCTTTTCTGAGGCGGTGTCGTTGTAGCTCAGGCTAGGCAGTAACTCACTGTGTAACCCAGTCTAGCCTCAAAATCAAGGCAAAAATCTTCCTGCCTCAGCTTCTCGAGTGCTGGGATGACTGCGTGAGCCACTCAGGATCCAAAACTTCCTTTTTTCCGGGGGTTAAGCATGTTAACAGTGCTTTCTAAAACAGCATTTGCTGCCTCCCGTGTACCCTTTGGACGGATCTGGAGGAGATACAATCAGATTCAAGTACAGGACTGACTTCCTCCTGTCTAGTCTTTGGGGTTCTTGGGCTAAGTCTAAAGCTTTCATTCCCTCATTTGTAAAATGTGCAACTAAGTAACATTCTGTGGATCCAGGCACCAGTTAACTTGACAGCATATGTGAATATGAGATTTTAAGGGTCTGGTTGTATCAGGTAACAGGCTAAAAGTCCTCTGCAAAGGGTAGCTTCAGGACTTTTGCATGTCTATGCAGACACTCCAAAGGCTCAATCCAAATCTGCTGTCATCATAAACAACTATCAACAGTTTCATCACAATTGAGATTTTTGTACTTTTAGAATAAGAACTAAGCCAAAGATAAACATTGTTTTCTCATCCTGTTGTACTTTGTTACATTTTCCAAAATTGACTGAGAACTGGGAATATTGTCACATTAGACATCTGTAGTAACTCAGCCCTAGATTAAACTGAAAACCCCTTTTGACTTGCTAACATCTAAAACGGCGTCAACATTTAAATCAGTATTTTGTTGGAAGCATAGGAATTAGGGGAGTAAAAATACTTCCACAGCCCGCTTTTCCTGCAACACCCCTCAAAGAAGCCGTAGGTGCCCTGACATAACAAGTCCTTTCTCCTCAGTCCCCATTGCCATCACCTGCTTTACCAGAGGCCTGGATATCCGAAAAGAGAAAGCAGATGTTCTCTGTCCGGGAGGCTGCTCTCTGGAGGAGTTCTCTGTGTTTGGGAACATAGTGTATGCCTCGGTGTCCAGCATCTGTGGGGCTGCCATCCATAGGTAAGCTGGGACATGGGGGAGGCTGTGCGGGTGGCCACTGGACAAGCACAGTTAGTGTCCTCCCCAGTTAGCTGTTTGGAGCTCTCTCCTAGCTGCTTGCTCCTTTTTAGTGCCAGTTTGGCCCCAGAAGGTGGATATATTTTTGAGGTTTTCCTGGGCATTCTTGCATTACCAAATGCACGAGGGAAGCTGTCTGACCATGAGCAGATAGCATTCATTTAAAAAGAAATTGTGAGTGTGTGAGTGTGTGAGTGTGTGTGTGTGTGTGTGTGTGTGTGTGTGTGTGTGTGTGTGTGTGCTATAATTGTTTGGGTGTCCATGGAGGACAGATGAGGGTGTTGGGTCCCTTGGAGCTGGAGTCACATGTGGCTGTGAGATGCCAGGAACTGATCTCGGGGCTCCTGGGAGAGCAGCAAGTGCTCCTAAACACTGAGCCGTTTCTCCAGCCCTGCGTAAGTGCCCGATGGCTGCATTTCTATGATTCTACAACATCTGCCATTGGGTCGCATATGATGGGGCTTGTATACTACTCAAGGCATTGTTTTCACTTCCATCACAAATCTTAAAGTAGACACAGCTTTGGTCTGTTTTTCACATGAGGATACTGAACTCTGGATGTCATATATCTTGCTAATTGTCACTATGGTAAGCCAGTGCCACCCCATCCTACAGTAAAAGAGCGAGTGTGATTTTTTTTTTAAATACAGTCCAAGGGCACATACAGTTAATTGCTTTAAGAAAATTGGCACCTTTTTTATTAATTCTGAATCTCTGAGATGTAAGAAGCCGGGTATCAGTGTGTTCTTATCATCACTGTAAAAAGTTTAACAGCACAGAGTCACTTCTCCAGACATTTTTGTTCCTGTATAAGTGAGTCTTAAAGGGCCAGCAGAAGGCATCCTTAGGCAACTTCTCCACTCAGCTATTTTCTTGACCGATAGAGCAGTAGATGACACACGACAACTGGATCGTGTCTCAGCTGTAACTCTTACTTTGCAGGGGAGTGATTGACACCTCCGGGGGACCTGTGCGTGTCTACAGCCTTCCTGGTCGAGAGAACTATTCCTCAGTAGATGCCAATGGCATCCAGTCTCAGACACTTTCCAGATGGCCCGCTTCCTTCGCGGTGACCAGTAGGTACAATTTCACTGTTCTCAGCTCTGCATAAACACTTCCCCACGCCCCTCTGAAGGGTTTTCAGCTCCCCTTAGCCCAGTCTTTTTTATTCTGATGGAAAACATTGGACTTAAGAAGTCAGCTATGGGACAGAGTCACCCAAATTTGGGGGGAGTAAAAATTCACTTCACACAGTGGAAACTGAAATCTGAATTGTTTGCAGTAAATGCCTAGATACTTAGCAAGTAGCAAACTGTCAAACCAATGAATTCAGTTTTTGGTGGCATTTTCAAATGCATCAAGAATGCATTTTAGTTCTCCAAACCTGATGGCCAACGTGATGTTTATACCTGAGTCACCATTCCCCCCTTAATCATCATGCAGAACTTTAGCTACATAACGCCCTGATGGCGGAGAAGGAAAGAGAAAAACAATAAACTTCTCATTTCAACAGAAGGCAAAGGCAGTACCCAGGAAGCCACGGGCCGGGCAGTATCCACAGCCCATCCACCTGCAGGTATGAAGCACGGACTGATCCCCTTGTTGCCTGGCACAGAATTTGGAGTTGGAAATGTTGTCGGGAGAACCTGTCCTTCAAAACACTAATATTAAAGAGGGGCAAAGCAGCTACCTCGTATCTACTGATGTGCTTTGGATGAAAGCATTCTACTTTATATTTCACATTTCTTCTCTTCTTTACTATAAACCTAGCTCATCCAATCTCAGGAAGTCCTTTCTACCCCTCTCTGATTTGACAGACCATGTGTAGAAATCGGTCAAGGACACCTTTCCAGCTCTCTGCTTCAATAGTCCACTTAGTTTCTGGACTGTCATGTGACTAAAAGAAATCAGTGTGTGTCTGCTACAAAAAAAAAAAAAAAAAATCCAGGGATCCCTTTTTCCAAAATTGTGGCCATTTTATTTTATTTTATTAGAGATTATGTGTATGTGTGTGTGGTTGAATGTATTTATGTGTATGGTGTGTGTGCAGGCAAAGGCAGAACTACAAGAGAGTGGTAGGCTCTTCTGGAAGCCCAGTTACAGGCACCGTGACTTGAGCTGCCTGATGTGGGTGCTGGGACCAAACCTGGGTCTTCTCCAAGAGCAGTAAGCGCTGTTCCCCGCTGCTCCACCCCTCTGGCCCCTACCATTTTAAAGTCAAAGAAATGAAGAGCATGTGGCTCTGTGTTCCCACTCTTGCTTCAGCTGTGGGTTTTAGATAGCAAAGCCTTGGATGGATACATACCAGACACTAGGCCTGCCACAGTTGTGTCGTTTCTTTGTTGGAGCAATGCCTTCCCAGTCCAGAGACCCTGGAAGGAACTTAAAAGGCCTTTCTGAGAATGGCACTCCTGGCCACGGGCTCATTCTGGTGGAAGTTCCTGCTGTGTAGGCGTCTCATGGTCAAGGGCTTCCTTTGTTTCAGGTAAACGGCTAAAGAAAACACCAGAGAAGAAGACTGGTAATAAAGGTAAGCTAAGTTCTTGGGGGGAAGTGGGGGATGGCATTTCCTCCAGCTGCCCTTGAGACTAACGGAGCCCTCCTTTGGCTCTCTGCAGACTGCAAGGCAGACATTGCATTTCTGATCGATGGAAGCTTTAATATAGGGCAGCGGCGATTTAATTTACAGAAGAATTTTGTTGGGAAAGTGGCGCTAATGCTGGGAATTGGAACAGAAGGACCACACGTGGGCCTCGTGCAAGCCAGGTACCAACGTTAATAAAATGGGAGATGATGGATGTCTTGAATGATGACTACTTACCAAGCTGTACTGTTAATTTCAGTTAAACATAATTTAAACTTGGACAAGCTGGAATCCCAAACTATAAATTCACAATTTAAGAATGCCTATGCAAGGCTGGGTGGGCATGGTGGTGCATGCCTTTAATCCCAGTACTCAGGAGGCAGAGGCAGGCGACAGCCTTATATCAGCTTTGTACCATCCCTGTGAGTTCAGTGCCAGCATGGTCTACATAGCAAATAGGCCAACTAGGGCTGCATAGTGAGACCTGGTCTTTAGAGGGGAAAAAAAATCTCCGCAAGTACTTGCATGCCCATGCAATGTTCACAATTCTCCACACTGCAAACAACAACAAACTAACTCTGGTTAGTCTGTGTCTAAGTGAGCCATTGGTATAAAAGCACTTAGCAAACAGTACGCTGTCTGTAGGGAGCCGGAAAGGGGATTCATGGCCTGGAAGCCTTACACGAACACCTTTCTCTGCTTTGCTCAGTTCTTGGATTTTCTTTTCTGAAGGAAGCAACAGTGAGCTCTCTGTTCCTTTTCTTTACTCTGCCAACATTGGGCTTTTTTTTTTTTTTTTTTTTTTTTTTTTTTTTTTTTTTAGCCCTTTCCATGTTCTTTCATTGGAGATCCAGAGTGTGACTGTCACTAGTTGGTGGCACGAGCCTGGGAGAGTAGAACCTAGAAATGAGGCAGACTAAAGTCTCATGCAATGGCCAACTTTATTCAGGGCATCGGACAATTTATATCCTGAGGGCGTTCTGAGGGTTAAGCAAGGTCATGTGAGCAAAGTTCCCTGGAGTCCAGGCTGTGTACAGTCACAGGGCCAGGATCACGCGAGTGTAGGACAGCTCATGCTTGCAGACATCACAGAACGACAGTGGGTCGGATGACGGGTGTGCTGAAGCAACCCCACGCCTACTCCTACACCTGGGAGGGCTCGAGAGCACATCCCCAGAGCAGCCGTGTTCTGGAGGAACACAAGGTCCAAGACTCTTGTCTTGTTTCCTTGGAGTTTTCTTACGAGCTCTCAGAAGTCTCCTCACGCAGCTCCATTCGTGGGCCGCGTTCTGACACATGCTCTCTCTTCCTTCCTGTGAAAATGATATTGGTGGTTTGTAGCACTGTAATAATGTCCCTTTAGGGGGCTTGACAAGTAAGAAGCACAAAGAAGCGCCTTTCTCAGACCACATCCTCCAGGGTCCTCTTCGTAAACTTGTGTTTCCCATCTGCATTTGAGAAGACATTTCTCTTCCCCGTTTCTACATTTCAGGCTGTAAAAATGTTGGACCCTCTTTGCTCACTCTTGAGTGCTTTAAGCACTCTCTCATGACAAACGTGCATTGCAAATGGTTTGTTTCTTTTGCCTTTCACTGTCTCACGGCAGCCCAAGATGAGAGAGAAGCCTTATGGCTGCTTGGGCCCATCTTTGATCATTCAGCGGAATTCCTGGGCTTGAAGTTCAGACATTTTAAAAGCCTCTGATAAAAATAGCTAAATTGCATTCTAGAAGGCCGAGTGAGCCAGCTAATACTATCAGCAGTGTGTCAGGGTAGCCCAGCACCACCACAAGCACTAATTAATATTCCATTCATTACTTTTCCTCATCCTTTGGTTTTTCAAGACAGGGTTTCTCTGTGTAGCCCTGGCTGTCGTGGAACTTGCTCTGTAGACCAGGCTGGCCTTGAAGTCAAGAGATCCACCTGCCTCTGCCTCCCAAGTCCATTTGTTACTTGTTATAGTAGGGTCTGCTTAGAAGGTATTTATACTTTTCTGTATAATATACCATTTTTCCCTTACCTTTAAAATGAGCCCTTTATTGTGTGGATTTAAATACAGTATCAGTTTTATGAACATCTAGGCAAGTTTCTTTGAGTCAGGTACTGATTTTTTTGTTGTTGTTGTTTTGATTTGGGTGGCTTTTTGTTTGTTTATTTTGTTTTGTTTGTTTGTTTTGGGTTTTTTTTTTCCACACAAGGTTTCTCTGGAACTCGATTTGTAGACCAGGCTGTCCTCAGATGCAGAGATCTACCTGCCTCTGCACGCACTACCGTGCCTGGCTTAGGTCCTGATACATTTTCTAAGTGTTTTGGATTTGACTAATTTAGCTTATGCTTTTTCAAACTGAAAGCTGCATTAACCCTTATGCTCACAGTTTTCTGCTTTAGGAAGCACTAGACTAAAGAGTGCATATTTAAATAGAAAGGAATGACCTTTGCATCATTAGCAAAGCAAAAAGTAAGAATCCGACTTGCTTAAGTCAGAATTGGAACAGCTGGAAGTGACTCCAACCTTAAAAAAGTGACCAACCAGCAGGTGTGCGGAGATAGTCTGTGATCTTCTTGTCACTCAAAGAATCGCCTTAAGTCCCACAACCCAGAGAGCTAAAGCAGGAGAGCTTGTCTTAAAGCAAGCAAGCAAACAAACAAACAAATAAAACCCCACAAAAAAACCCAAAGCCTGACATTAAAATGGCTACTTACGCTGAAAGCTTAAAAATTTGCACTCAATGAAGTTTCTGACTTTGAAGATGTGCTGTTGTTTTACTCAGCATGGCCGTGTGTGTGTGTGTGTGTGTGTGTGTGTGTGTGTACATACACATGTATGCAGAAGGTAGAGGACAACCCCAGACTTCTTCAGGCACCACCCACTTTGTTGTTGTTGTAGACAGGACTCTCTGGCCTGGAAAGCAAGGTAGCCTGGTTGGCCACCATGTCTCAGGGATGCGCCTCCTCAGCACTGGCATCAAAAGTCTGAGCCACCACACTCGGCTCTCTTTACATGGGTTCTGGAGATCGAACCCAGGCCTTGGACTGAAGCATCTCCCCAGTCTTCAACATGGTCTCTCATGAACAAAATATAGTTAAAAGTGAGCTGAAATTCTTTAAATAATAATCTCATAACCAGGATTAGCAAAATTGTCATTTTATAAGAAAAATTTAACATTGTGTTTTACAATGCATTTCCTTGTACCTTTTCCCATCTTATAAAATGTCACTCTTAGGGACTAGAAATATGTCAGCAATCAAGAGCATTGGTTGCTCTTCCAAAGGACCCAGGTTCACCCACACGGTCACTCACATCTATCTGTATCCATTTCCAGGACATCTAACGCCCTCTTCTGGCCACTATAGGCATCAGACATGCACATGGTGCACGGACATAACACGCAGGCAAAACCCCCACACACAAATAATAATTTAAATGTCACTGGCACTGTCCCTTTTGACCAGAGAGACCTAGGCTAATAGGCTGCTGAGTGCTTCTGGGGCTGTGCCCTGGAGCAGATGTACTCTCACATCCAACTGTTTCCTACGTACTGGTGCCCACCTCTGCAGAGTTCCATCAAAGCCAGAGCCCAGAGCCACATCTGCTTTAACATGCTGCACACATCAAGTCTGTAACTCCGTTCCAACCTGGATTTTGGAACGATTTTGAAGCTAGTTGAGTCTGAATTTAAAAGGCAGTCATGTTTTGTTAGGCAAATTCCCTGAGTGTTCTGAGCCTTTTTTTCTAAAAAAATAATTGGGATAATTTCACCTCGTGGAAATATGAAATGAAATTGTGTGCTTAGCTATTATTCAAAATGTAGTAAATTTGGAGTGTAGCAGTTATTCTTGTTATATTTCTGAAACATTTCCAGTGAGCAGAAGCAATGTTCTAGTTGATTATATAGTATGTAATTTAAAAAAGACTTAGGTCTGACTCTTTCTTACATTTATCTTATAAGGGTTTTTGTTTGTTTGTTTGTTTGTTTTGCCTGCATGTATGTCTCTGTACTGTGTGTGTGCCTGGTAACCACAGAGGTCAGAAGGGATGCCAGACCCCCTGGAAGTGAGTTAGCTGGTGATCAGCCACTATGTTGTGAATTGAACGTGGGTTCTCTGCCAGCCGTTTTTTTTTTTTTTTTTTTTTTTTTAAGGCCATCTGACTGCTTATTTTGTTTTTCCTAAAAACTTCTTTTTTCATTTTTATAGTGAACATCCCAAAATAGAATTTTACTTGAAAAACTTTACTTCAGCCAAAGATGTCTTGTTTGCCATAAAAGAAGTAGGTTTCCGAGGGGGTAATTCCAACACAGGTAAGTACGCCATCTCTGGGCTCAGCATACCCATGATAGCGATCAGAACTGAAAGCCTGTAGTGCCATTTAGGAGACTCTCTTCCTGCTAGCACATCTGTGTTGGCTAGATCTGCATCTCATCACATATATATAAACTGTCTATAGTGGAAAATACACCAGTGGGGTAGCTGGTGTATCTTTTTTTGCTTGTTTTGAGACAGGATTCCTCTGTGTAAGAACTCTGGCTATCCTAGAACTCACTCTGTAGACCAGGATGGTCTCAAACTCAGAGATCCACCTGCCTCTTGCCTCCCAAGTGCTGGGATTAAAAATGTGCACTAGCTCTGCCTGGTCTGATAATTCTTAAAAACAAAACAAGAATCCCTACAGCATTGTGAGCTTTAGGAAAGTACCTGTTTTTAAGCAGATGAACAGACTTAACCATGAAGGAAGAGGGGGCAGACTCTGGAAGGCCCCTTGTTCCCTAGCTGCCCTCATAGGCCAGGAGGGGCGAGAGCACACAACAGGAGGGGTGTGTCGTGTTTTTCTGTGAAGTGATGCAAGGGAACGGGAGACTTCTGGGAAGTGGAGCGGATGCAGTGTAGGCTGTGAGGACCAAAAAATAGGCCTGAAGGAGAATTAAACTTTCCCATCTCGTAGATCTTTTACTAACTGAATTCCTAAACTAAGTTCTTAAATTCAGTGGCATTAAGTTGTTACCCAGAAATAGAAATGTCATTTGAGGCACGGCAACTGCAGCTACTTTGCTTCTTTTTTTAGGGAAAGCCTTGAAGCACACCGCTCAGAAATTCTTCACAGCAGACACAGGTGTGAGGAAAGGGATCCCCAAAGTGGTGGTGGTGTTTATTGACGGCTGGCCTTCGGATGACATTGAGGAAGCAGGCATTGTGGCCAGAGAGTTCGGTGTCAATGTGTTCATAGTTTCTGTGGCCAAGCCCATCCCTGAAGAACTGGGGATGGTTCAGGATGTTGCATTTGTTGACAAGGTAAGGTGTGAGGGCTCGTTCCTGTTAATGGGTGGAAGTGACTCAGTTTGGGACCTCTTAAGCCTAGTACTGATTAGCCCCTAACTGGATGAACATATAATATTTGGTATGTTTGAGGTGGGCCTGAAAGAGCAGACCTGTAATCCCAGCTACTCAATGAGTCTGAGGCAACAGGATTACAAGTCCAGGACCAGCCTGTGCAGCTGAGTAAGACCCCATCTCAAAATGAAAAGTAGCAAGGGCGCAGGGGATACATATGTAAGGCTCTAGGTTCCATCTCCAGTACCCCGTTTGGAAAACATTAAACCTTTTATTTTTTGGGTTATCTTTTGTCTCCCATTAGGCTGTGTGTCGGAACAATGGCTTCTTCTCTTATCACATGCCCAACTGGTTTGGCACCACAAAATATGTCAAGCCTCTGGTGCAGAAGCTCTGCACTCATGAGCAGATGATGTGCAGCAAGACCTGTTACAACTCGGTGAACATCGCCTTCCTAATTGATGGCTCCAGCAGTGTTGGAGATAGCAATTTCCGTCTTATGCTGGAATTTGCTTCTAACATAGCCAAGACATTTGAAATCTCAGACATTGGAGCCAAGATAGCTGCCGTACAGTTCACTTATGACCAGCGCACAGAGTTCAGTTTCACCGACTATAACACCAAAGAGAATGTCCTAGCTGTCCTAGGGAACATTCGCTACATGAGTGGAGGGACAGCTACTGGTGATGCCATCTCCTTTACTGTGAGAAATGTGTTTGGTCCCATAAGGGGCAGCCCCAACAAAAACTTCCTGGTCATTGTCACAGATGGCCAGTCATATGATGATGTCCGAGGCCCTGCTGCAGCTGCCCATGATGCAGGTAAGACGGTTGCACTTTGTATTAGGAATAAGAAAGGAGTCCTGTGAATTCAGTCAATATAGGCCCAAGCATTTTTGTGGAAAGGATCCTTGCAGTGTAGACTTACTCTACAAGCTTTAGAGTCTTGGTGATTGAACTGAAATTTTTCCAAGCTTCACTGAAATCCCTTTGGGAAGTCTTTTTTTTTTTTTTTTTTTTTAATCACCAGATTTTTTTTTTTGCTTTAGTTTTAAAATAGCAATTTAAGTTTATGAGTGTTTTTCCTGTGTGTATGTGTACATGTGTATACCTGGGGCCCATAAAGAGCAGAAGAGGGCATCGGATCCCCTGGAACTGGAGTTAGATGCTTAACTATGTGGGTGCTGGAAACTGAACACAGGTCCTGTGCAAGAGCAACAAAATGTTTTTTTGTTTTTTTTGAGGGGGGTTGGGTTTGGGTATTTTGAGACAGGGTTTCTATGTGTAGCTTTGGAGCCTGTCCTGGAATTCACTCTGTAGACCAGGCTGGCCTTGAACTCAAGGGATCCGCCTGCCTCTGCCTCCTGAGTGCTGGGATTTAAAGGCATGCACCATCACCCAGGAAAAGAAATGTTCTTAACGGCTGGGCCACCTCTCCAGCTCAAGACTTGTAATTTTTGATTACTGGATTTATCAATATAACTTCAAAGACTGAAGTGGAGGAAACAAAATTACCACTAGCCCCCATTTCCTCAGACAACGCAAACCTACATAAAAAGATGTATGTATCTTTTTATGCCAGTCTCAATTTAAAATGCTGTCTGAAAGGGGCATCAGCAGGAGTCTTTCCTCACCGCCAACCACGCATGCCGACTGTAGGACATACAGTTCAGCCAGGGGGTCCTTTTGTTCCTAGTTTGTTCAGTGCACTGTCCTTAATGAACTCCGCATCACATTATTAATACAATGCATTAATTGTATTAATTGTCTTTCATGAACTGACCATCTTGGTAGTTTTTATCAAATTATTAACACATAGTAAGTTGCTAGAGGCAGCGCTTGGTTCTAAGTATTTTTGCCATAATCAAAACGACTGTAGTCTACCTAGAAAATTCAGCATAGATTCCATTTAAATTGTTAAGCAGTTTTCTCTGCAGCTAGGTATTAATGTATGGAATATGTAACTTTGTATGTAAGCTAGCCCTATTTTTAATTCACTTCAAAATATTTCCATTGTAGGTATCACCATCTTCTCTGTTGGTGTGGCTTGGGCACCTCTGGATGACCTGAAAGATATGGCCTCTAAACCCAAGGAGTCACATGCTTTCTTTACCAGAGAGTTCACAGGATTAGAACCAATTGTCTCTGATGTCATTAGAGGCATTTGTAGAGATTTCTTGGAATCCCAGCAATAACTGTGATACTCTGACAACTCAAAGAATGCGTACAAGGGGATCTAACATGCAAATTGTATTCTCAATACCTAAGTAACTTTATAGCTTACCAGGATCAGTAAATACATCCACAGCTGTTTAAAGCAAATGAGCATTCATTTGAAGCACCTAATTTAGATTGACCGAGGCTTGATAATCAGGGTCCTTAGAAACTCAGGAAAGAGAGATGTCATGGATTAAGACTGCAGAGTTCAGACATGCATACTCCAAGTGGCTATGCGAGTTCCACAGCTCCGTAAAGAACCTGACCCTTGGACACAAGCACTGGTCCTTCTTTCATCACTGTGTTGACTGTGCAAGGAGAGCAAGGCAGCTTTTCAACCTAGACCAAGCCCAATGTTGACCCACGTGGACGTTGTCTTAAAACCAGCCGACAGCTGTCATTTCATGTACCAGTCATAACTACACATTATATGACCATGTATCAAGCTTCTTTTGTAGTGTGTTTTCATAACTAATGGCTAAAAATACCACATTGAGTAAAGATAGGACTGCCTGGTATTTTTCTATTTATATCCCTAATTTTATGTGTATAGGCAGGCATTACTCCAAGGACTGAGAAAATGCTTAAGCAGGTTAAGTTTCTGAAAAAAGATGTTTCAAGTATTGTAACAGGAAAAATACACGGCATAATAGCTTGGATATGTCAACAATAAAACTGGTAGTGACTTACTAAGCGCCTATTTATTAACACTAGTGTTTTTCTTCTACGACAAAAAATTCTACTCCTGCTAATTTACATGGAATAACCAATCTGAATTAAGTCGTGAAAAATTTCATTCAATCACATGCTGAATGCCTATTGTAGACAGCATCAGTCATTACCAGGTTAGCCACTAGGACATGTTTAAGAGTACCTGCTTCAAGAAAATGTAACCAGCGGGGGCTGGAGAGATGGCTCAGAGGTTAAGAGCACTGGCTGCTCTTCCAGAGGTCCTGAGTTCAATTCCCAGCAACCACATGGGGGCTCACAACCATCTGTAATGAGATCTGGTGCCCTCTTCTGATCTGCAGGTGTATATACAGACAGAACACTGTATACATAATAAATAAAACTCTAAGAAAAATATTAAAAAAAAAAAGGAAAAATGTAACCAGCAACATTTTCAAAACTTAACAGTTGATGTCAAGGAGAGTATCAAAACTCTTGTGCAGACTACAGCCCACAGGGGTTCTACCATCCCATCTTCTTTAAACCAGGTCTGTCCTCTCCTTTACCCACCTGTGGGACTTGGGAAAAGCACTGGTTGCAGACTCATGACTTACTGGAGTATACCCCAATTTCATAACCATGCAGAGTAAGGATTATCTGTGGGAAGAGACAAAACTCAACATCTACAGACTTGACAAAAAAAACATTCCTTCTCCCCTCCTTCTTAGAAAAGGCTGCAAATGCTTCATTGTGAACAAGGAGAATCCTACCGTAAAAAGCAGGTTCAATTTAACCTGACTTCCTAAATTGTTTCCTGTGAAAGTGAACAAAGAAAGGATTAATAACTTAATAAAGAATCACTCCTGAGATAAGCTGGCCTTACAGACATGTACCACACTACGTGGCTTTAAAAAGGAAGTTTTAAAAAGACCTCTTCTAATCCAGTTTCAGCAGGCACATCTGAATTCCAAAGATGCTAGCAAACTTTGTAATGCTCTGCTGCACATTTTTGTTACAAAGTCTCACATACCCCAGGCCAACCTTGAACTGAGGATCTTCCTGGCATTATAATCATCAGAGCCAACATACCCATGCCTGGCTCATCATTTTATAACTTCTAATGAGTTGAGATGTTGGTTTTCAGTTGGTAGAAATGAGGAAGTAAATACAATCATGAGAGATGCAATGATCAAACATCAAGAGGAAAAAAAATACTAAAATTAAAATACCATTAAATTTGACTTACACATAAAGTCAAATTACCTTCCATAAACCAAAAATGGAAACATATAAAACAAAAATAAGACATTTTTTCAACTTTTTAGTTTCTTCCTGTTTACTATCATTAAAAAATATAAAAAATACTATTTTAAAAGTCCATCATAGTTTCAGTATACTGTAAAACACAAATATTTATGCCCCACAATAACAAGCAAATTACAGTTAAATAGTTATGCAATGGGCTTCAGAAGACTGCCAGGAACAAAACTAGATTTGGGAAAATTAATTAAAAACAAGAGTGTGGAGGAATATCCCTTCAGTTCTTTTCATTTTTCAGCTCGGAAAAACCGAAACCAGTTAGTGCCCTCGGGTGTACGTGGTACATGCATGTCAAGAGTGCCTGTGTGTGCCCATGCATGCATGCAGAGGCCAGAGCAGGCTTCCTCCTCCAGTGCTCTCTCTCCTCTTAATGCCTTGAGCTGGGGTGGGGTGTGTCCTCACATTTAGGACTAGGCTGGCTTACCAGTGAGTTCCCAGGACCTTCTGTGTGCCCCCTCAACATCGGGGTTATATGCATGCAGTCACACCATGCTTTTCTACATGGGTGCCAGAGATTCAAACTCAAGTCCTTATACTTGAGTTTGAATTCAACAATTTCAATTCTGAAAAGTCCTAGTGTTTTTTCAGTAGCAAGTGAGTTATAAGTTCTGTAATGCCCAATTCAATTCCATTTGCAATTTCTTCTAAGAAAGAGAGCATTAATATCTTGTAACTTTTTCTTTCACATAGCTAACTTTTAACTTTATAAGAACATTCTACTAAGTGAATAATGTACTTTATTCTTTGCTAACATTTTTGTTAGCTAAACTGGACAACACTATTTACTAGTAAAGTAAAACTCAAAGAAATAGGATGTCTAAGCAGATTATTTAAATTGCGTATCTGAAACTTGGAAATGAGCATGACATTGGCTGCCTTATCTTATTTTAATAGCATAAAAGCTACGCCAGGTAGTGCAAATACTTTGTAAAGTATCCTTAATAGTGTTTATGTTGTAACCTTATTAGAATATCAGAACGTACTAGGAATACAGAAATAGCATGAAAATGAAGGACTAAGAAACCATCTCCATTCCCTACTTTAATCGTGGAGAGGATTGCACTTTATTATTATTCAACACGAAATGATGTGGCCAACAGCAACATACAGGTACACAATTTAATATTTATTATATGCATTTTATATACATTATTTTTCAACAGCTGTACGTTTGCTTTGTGGTACAATCTTAAAAATTTGCTGATTCATAGTCTGGAAAACAAAAACCTTACAAAACTCATCAAAACTCGCAAACTGATCAGAAAAGGTTTTTGGAAGACTAGAAAAAAATACTTTATTGTCTTAATCATGCATTACACAAAGAAAATCTTTAGTTACACCATAAAATTAAGCACATCTAAAAAAACAAAAACAAAAACAAAAACAGGGGAAACTAGTCCAATTCCAGCAGACTTCAGTATCCTGATTCAACTTTTTAAAATATGTATGTAATAGCAATAAAATATTCTCCAATTTTTTTTAAACTAGATTGTTTTGTTCTGGAATCATGGTAAATCAAGATAGTATCTTGGGGAGAAACACCTTGGTTTGTAACTTAACTATAAAACATCCCATTTTTAGTCTATTTTAGACTGTTCAAAGAGTTCCAAAATAGATACACAGGTTCCCTTAGCACATTAATAAAAGGATATAAAGGCTAAAAAAATAAGAGAAATAAATAATAAACCATCATCAAGATGGATAACCTTTTCTAAATAAACTTGTAAATACAGTAAGATGTACAAAATATCACATAGTGATAGGATGTCAGATTAGTTTTTAAAGAGTTCATTTGGAGTACTAGACTCCACGGCTTTGTTTTAATACACTTAATAGTCCTTGATTCATGAAGACGTGTAGACGAAGGTGATATAGCATCTTAGGAAGGACTTAGCTGAGCTGTATTAGGCAAAAGGAGGACAGGAAGTGGTTACAGGTGGCAGGTTAGTGAGAGCTCTGTGTTTTAGGGCTGTGTAATGCAGAAAAACATCAATATGATCTTGAGCACTGTGGTGACAGGCTAAATATATAAAAAGACTTATAAAAACTAGAATTTTATCCAAACATTTTGTGCAACTAATGCTAAAATATTTTAAGTTAAATTTTCTTTTCTTTCTTTTTTCTTTTTTCTTTTTTAAAGCAAAATAAGTTTAAAAGGGAATCTGTGGCATTCAACCGATAAACATAAGGTAACTAAGAGATGAAAAACGCTACTCTTGGAGCTTGCTTCCCCACGAGAGCACCACATTCCTAACCCTAAGGCAGCACACAGAGTCCAACAAAAACAAGTCCTTTATTTAATTGTTTTGTTGTTGTTGTGAGATCAGACTCCACATTGGCTTAAACATTTAAAAAAAAAAAAAAAACTACACTCAGTTCATATCCAGTATACAGCACAGATACTGGAGTCCGTTTTCTTCCTGTCTCACAAATACAGTTAATTACAATTAAACTAATAACCTGACATGAAGATGTGATTCCCAACAACTTAAGCCTGCCCCCAATAGCTTGACCCAGGCAGATCACATGTAGTGTCATATCAGTAACCTTCTTGATGGCAGTGATGCAGACAGACCCTCTTTCTGACCAAGACAATCTGTTTTCATGATGTGAGTCTATGTCGGTTCACACAAATACTTTGGCAAGGGCATCAGCTCCTGCACTGGCGATATATGCCTTTGACGGATGGAAAGCAACATCATAAATTGACTCATCCAATTTCTTCCTATGAGCTGTGATTTCTTGTACACATGTCTTACTGTCCAGATTCCATAATCTAATGGAGCAGTCATGGCCTGTAAAAGACAAATAAAGCTTATTACTGAAGAACAATTCCTTTATGAAGTTTGTAAGTTGTACAGAAGTTCAAACTTACTTCCAGACATCAAATAGATTCCATTGGGATCTACTGCTAAACTTGTAACAGCATCCAAATGAGCTACCATAGAATGGATCATTTTACCTATAAAACAAAAACAGGAGATTCATGTTGAAAGGCAGAAGCTAAAATACACCATCAACATAGCAGTATTTTCAGTTTTGGAAAAATACTCATATTTTTACAATTTTAACCATTTGGGAGGACACAATTCACAGTGGGCACCACCACCAAGATCTCTATCACATGTTCATCACTGAAAAAGAAAACCTTGCCCAGTCCCTAGGAACAAGGGTCTACTCTTTCTAGAGACTGATCTATTCCAGATGCTTTATACTCAACACATTCTGAATACGTGGCTTTTGTGTCTGGCTTCTTTCACTTAATATATTTTTCAAGATGCATCTATTATACTAATAGTCTGGAGAAAAATTTCAATATTGTTATTTTTAAGACTTTGCTCCTAAATGAAACATTGCCCTACAGGTGGGAGAAAAAGGACTCAGTAGATAAACTGAAGGTCACATGACTGAGGAAAGTGGAATCTTGGAAGATTCTGGAAGTCCTGTCCCACCCACTCTAAGTTTCTATTTCAATTTTTAATTTATGTGAATGTATGTGTGTCTGTGTATGTGCACGGAAGTCAGAGAGGTGCCGGCTCCTGAAACTAGATATGGGTACTGAGACTGGAACTCAGGCCCTCTGCAAGAACAATCCGTGCTCTTGGCCACTGAGCCGTCTCTCCAACCCTTAGGTTTTCTAGCAGTCGTAAACAAGTGCTGGGGAGAGCCTCTTCAGAGCTGCCCTCCGCCTGCGGCCCTG